TTATACATCCGTCATACATCCTTCATACATTGTTCATAATCCTTCATACATCCTTCATACATTGTTCATACATCCTTCATACATCCTTCATACATTGTTCATACATCCGTCATACATCCGACATACCTCCTTCATACCTCCTTCATAAATCCTTCGTACATCCGTCATACATCCGACATACATCCTTCATACCTCCTTAATACAACCTTTATACAACCTTTATACATCCTTCATACATCCGTCATACATCCGACATGCATCCTTCATACATTGTTCATACATCCGTCATACATCTGACATACATCCGACATAAATCCTTCATACCTCCTTTATACAACCTTTATACAACCTTTATACATCCTTCATACATCCGTCATACATCTGACATACATCCGACATACATCCTTCATACATCCGTCATACATCCTTTATACATTGTTCATAATCCTTCATACATTGTTCATACATCTTTCATACATTCTTCATACATTGTTCATACATCCTTCATACATCTGACATACATCCTTCATACATCCGTCATACATCCTTCATACATCCGTCATACATCCTTCATACATTGTTCATAATCCTTCATACATCCTTCATACATTGTTCATACATCCTTCATACATCCTTCATACATTGTTCATACATCCGTCATACATCCGACATACTTCCTTCATACCTCCTTCATAAATCCTTCATACATCCGTCATACATCCGACATACATCCTTCATACCTCCTTTATACAACCTTTATACAACCTTTATACATCCTTCATACATCCGTCATACATCCGACATACATCCTTCACACATTGTTCATACATCCGTCATACATCTGACATACATCCGTCATACATTCTTCATGCATCCTTTATACAACCTTTATACAACCTTTATACATCCTTCATACATCCGTCATACATCTGACATACATCCGTCATACATCCTTCATGCATCCTTATACAACCTTTATACAACCTTTATACATCCTTCATACATCCTTCATGCATCCTTCATACATTTCATACATCCTTCATACATCCGAAGCAGTGTTGAATCCTCAGCTCATACTGTGAGCGAGCTAATTCATTGTACATGATAATTTAAAGCTATCAGAAAGTGTTCTCTGCTAATCGAAAAATATTGTCTTTTGTTTGAAAGTATTTTTCTTTCATTAACTTCTTTCATATTTTGATAACGGTTGTTCATGATTTAAGAATGAAGTACTGTGTTCATTGTTTACTTTATAGATATAGATATACCAATACTAACTAAGAGTCCCGTGTAATATTTATTGAAAGAGTCTCACACATTGATAACGATTATTTCTTTATTGTAATGGTATTATAGATAGTGCCCTGATCGTATATTGCCTTTGTTTCAATAGACTATTATGCTATATCTGTACCGGTGTCTATACGACTATTATGCTATATCTGTACCGGTGTCTATACGAACTGCTCTCACTCTCCTAAACTGCGTACAAAACTTCAGGAAAATTACGGGTCAATGATTATTTGCCGTTTAAAAGAAAATTCATCAAATGTATTATTTTTATATATGTGATTTTTTTAGCATTTAAACACTTTCGTTATAGGTCCTTATACAAAGTTATAAAATAGGCTTACTAAGTCAAATAGTCTTATAACATCTCATTCAATGCTGGACCTGTAGAAAATGTCCTCTAGTTTTAGTATATCTATTAAAGTTAAAACATTAAATCTTTTGTTCATGGATGATGATAGTTTACAGCTGAGCTGAACAACCTACCGCTTCATTTCTATTGCTTGAGTCTTTGCGTGATATCAATTCCATTGGCATAATCATTGTGAAGTCTATCATAACATGAAGCCTGAAAACGAATAATTAAATTGTATTAGGATTAAAAGAAACATGTATTGCAGTATGAAAGTGAATTATTTGATAAAGCTGATATTCATTCAGTTTCACTGGATTTAAAGGGCCAACCAACGATAAATCTTATAAATCATTCATGCGTAGATTAACTAGAGTGGCACTTCAACACATTCCCTGACTTTCGTTCCCGTAGTGATATCGAATTTTTGCCATAATTGCTTAGATATCCAGGTGAGCGATACAGGCCCTCTGGGCCTCTTGTTATATTTACAGGCATGTGTTGCTATTTATGATATTTACAGGCATGTGTTGCTATTCATTATATTTACAGGCATGTGTTGCTATTTATTATATTTACAGGTAGAACTTGGTGTCAGCTGACTGGATACTATTCTAACCGATGTCAAAAACTGTTGACATTCCAAGAAGAACAATCAACGTCACAGTCAGAAGGGCAACCCTCAGATTTGGATGATTTGTTAACGGATAGGTCTATAGGATATACAGATGGTAAATAAAACCGGATTATCTCCCTTTACCAAATTACTACCTGTATTCATACAGATTTGATGGTGTTTTCATTCATTCACATTCAAATTGAATTATCCTGAATAAAAGTCTCATAGCACTGGTACAGCTTTTGTATGAATGTTTCAGATATTCCACTTTTCATATTTAAATTAACCAAATCATTTTTGATTCATAGCAACAAGAAAGATTTGAGGATAATGTTTAAAATAGTAATATTCACTCAATGGAAACCCATCTTTAACAAAATTGTCTTTGAAATTGTGTTCCATGTACAACTTCATTATCTAACAATAAAATATCAAATTCTTTATTTTTCTTAATTTGAAGAAACACAACAAGCAAAACTGAAGTTGAATCCTGACCAGCCAGTAAACCCGCACTTGTTGAGGGTGGCCATCATAGGGACCTACAACAGTGGAAAGTCTACCCTCACCAACAGGCTCATGGGCTGGAAAGTAAGCTGTAATCTACAGTTCAGAGCAAACTTAACTTGGTAGCCTAGTGCACTGGAGTTAACAAGAAAAGTGAACTCCAGGTCACTAGCTTGTGCACTGGAGTTAGCACTGAAGTGAACTGGAGTTCACATCAATGTGCACTGGCATTAACACTGAAGTGAACAGGAGTTAACATTGTAGTGAACTGGAGTGCACTTCAATGTTTTGTCAAGTGCACTTCCTTGTTCACTACATGTGCACTATGAAGTGCACTAGATACCAAGTTAAGTTTGCTCCCAACTGCACTCACCTTTCTCATACATTCATATTTGATACTTTTAGCTCACCACACCTGCAATTAGCAGAGTGAACTGTCTATTTTTAGCTCACCTTGTCCATACCGCAGCGTCCGTCGTCCGTCCTTCCGTCAACTTTTCCTTTAAAACGCTACTTGTCCTGAACGGCCAAGCAGATTTTGACTAAATTTGGTCTGGCGCATCCTTAGGCCAAGGGGACTTTGTATAAATGGTGGGTGTGGCCCCCCCCCTGGGGGCAGAGGGGTGGGGCCCAATAGGGGAAATAGAGGTAAAACCTTTAAAATCCTTCTTCTACCGTAGGGATTAAGAGATTTTATCCTAATTTAGTCTGGGGCATCCNGGGGGGGGCAATAGGGGGAATATAGCAAATTCTTTAAAATCCTTCTACTTCTGTAGAAATGAAAGGATTTGTTCCATATTTGGTCAGAACCATCCTTGGGGGAAGGGGAACCAATTTTGTCAGGGCTCAATAGGGGAAACATAGCAAATTATTCTTTAAAATCCTTCTTCTTCTGTAGGAATGAAAGGATTTGTTCTATATTTGGTGTAGAGCATCCTCGGGTAAAGGGGAACCAATTTTGTATAAACAGTAGGTCTGGCCCTCCTGGGGGCTGAGGGGCGGGGCCCAAAAGGCCAAGGTAACTTCTATCGTAAGATTTTTAAGATTGCAAATGAGATTATGGTAAAATAATGTCTATTAGGACACGTGAAAATATTCAGTTATAATATATTTTCTATGAATGACAAACATCATTTGAACAGTATCGTAGGTATATGGGAGTCATCTTTCACAGCTCCGATAGTAATGCACATGTGATTGGTTTAATAATAAACTTATATTTTGTTTACAGTTTTTCAAAAGCTCCCTAATTTGGTTGTAACGTACTCACTCGAAATTACATGGATGCATAGATGATATTACTTAATTCTCCAAGGTATGAATACCGTGGATACTATCCCCTTGTTAAACACTTCCCTTCTGGTTCTACCATATACTACGATATCATGTTTTACTAGTAAGACAGGTTTATGAATATTAATGCAACATTTGTACAGTTACAAAATTATTAGACTTGTAATTTTACTGGTCATGGTGCACTGCTAGTTTACCTTCATTAATAATTTTGTATATTATTAGATAAAAAAGGAGTGGAGTAATATCTAAGTTAGGAGGTTGTGTATCACAACATCTGCCGACTGTGGATCAGGTACAAATGCAAAACACCCGACACACCATTTTAAATCAGTTCCTTACCAGACGGTAACAACCAACGCGTATTTGTCATAATCATACCATTGAGCTAAAACATATTTTTTTAATACATTAATTCTTTTTTTCTTTAAGTATTAAATATCTGAATTTCTTTTGCTGTAACAGCGCGGTGAAGCTAGCTTTACTTTAATTAGATGTTCCCTTGGTTTATAAGTTGATGGTTGGCTAGCTTTGTTAGCTTTATCCATTTAGAGCTGTTTAAGAGTATCTTTTATGTATCACTAATATATGTATCAACTATACATACTATATCAAGGTATTCATCTGAAGCCACAGACCGTAGTAGGAAACCGTGTACATTTTAATTTCTCACTTTTAAACAACATTAACAAGACGTTAAGCTAGCCAGTGTTGTAATGTGTAGACTTGTGTACTTAGGTAAGTCCACCCCGTGCAGACAGTCTATCGCCTCGGTTACTCTCGTCATTATTCTATTTGTCATATACGGATATGTTTAAAGCTTATCGATTAAAAGTTTGCTTGTTATCTATTTTTAATGTCTTACGAAACACAATACTGATTTGTTAGTCACAATGCGTGTTATAAATAGTAGCAGGCGATTTATTCATCGATGTGATTGACGCTGATCTTGTTAGCTTGTCCTCAGTTCATTGTGTTGAAGCAGATACTGATATACAGTTTGGTGTATGATAATGTTTGTGTATAAACTGACCTGAACTACCCGTTACTTATATAGAATAGGTACGGTTGTCAGTTGCAGGAAAGTGTGCCACAATGTCCCTCTCCTGCTGAACAGCAACTGTGGACCCCTTGTCACTCCCCCGGGCCGTATGTTTCTATTATCACGTGTCATCGTTGTGTCCGCACGCGCATCGCCTCTAGACTGTTTATGTTTTGGACTTCTGGGAAGGCAGCTAGGTAACCAGTACAAAGCGACCTACCCGTGACGTAAGGCCGTGTTTGTGTATATATACCAGGACCACGTGGCTTTGTTATCGTCCCGCCAATGACTCGCTCTGTCGATTGTTTTGGGATTTTCCAGTTGAGATTTGAGTTTACGTGTATTAGCTGTAAAGCCGGCTATCACAACTCTGGTGACTTTTACCGATGACTGAGGTGAGAGGGACAAATGTGACCTCCTACATTGATGATGGCGGCTAACGAGGCTATACGGGTGTGTGGGGAGAGGCTGAGATACATAGGGGACAGTATGCACACGGAGTATGGCCAGGCGAATGATCGCTGGACCAAAGGTACGTGTCGCATGGCAAGGGTCTCTCTAATCATCCTCTCCCTTCTCATCAAAATCGCCTCTCATACGGAACACCTCTGAATGGGGACAAAAGGTAACTAATGTAGTAAACTAACTAGACAGATATTACAGCTGTTAACTAGTGTCATACGACATAAACAATACAATACTTATCTCGATCCCTCTATGTTGTAACTACATACTAACTCGCACATAATAAACACCTCCAACTGGAGTTCTCTGTTATTGTTAAAACAAAACCTCATCATAGAGAATTGAAACAAAGGCTATCCTTCATTGAAGGCTTCACAATTATATTATCACATTAATTAATTCTTAAAATGTTTTCATTCAAATATTTGAAACTACCCGCTTTATAATACATTCATTTATGACATGCTATACAATGATGAAGGAGTAAATTTGCATAAAAATGGTAATGAACAAAATTACGATCAACCATTAAGCAACAGGGTAATTGTATTGTATTACACCGTAACACATGATACAATAAGCAGCTATATATAGACGGCACTCCACCCGGTAGCATTACTACGCAGTACGTGTGTAATACGTCCGTGTCGGCCGGTCTTGTTGATCAACATTAGAAATTCTTCACTCGGTAGAGCAAATACAGGTGTTAATATCGATACGAAATACAAAGTCTACTGCAGCGTAATACATTCTTAACTCACCAGCGAGTATTTCGCAATACTGACCCACAGCTAAAGCTCACCTGTCGTGATATTCATGTAACATAACACACATATGGTTTTAGTTCCAGTTTGACAACAGTTATGTCAGAAATAGGTTATCTCTTATGATATTATTCATACGTTATCGTATTGTATACAACCACTCATAACAATAATTGGATACAATCTGGCTCTGGTGGCACAGGAGCTAGACTTATCAACACACAAAAGATTAAATTCAATATCGTATCGCTCGTTTGTAATTACAGTATTTTGATGGCAAACTGAAAACGATTAAACATAGCAGGCTGTATCAAACAAGTTTAAAAGTAATCTTGGATACACATACATCTGATTAAAAATGTCATGTTGGATAACCGATCAACACATCAATCAAGCTTAGTGCCCTTTGACTATGACCATACAGCTTATGATTTGTATTCAGAATAGGTTTGTATTGTGAATAGGTTTACAAACAAACATGACAAGATAATGATATATAACACGTATGTTATACTATCAGTCATCCCTACATTACAGACAGAATGGGTTCACTATATATCAAGAAACACTTTTGTGTTTACTACCAGATTTACTCTCCCAAGATGTTGTTGATTTTAACATAACCGTATTTTATATTATACTTGATGGATTCCGTTATACTAATGTAATGCTTTTTGCCTTGCAGAATTGTCTGTCTACCTCGTCAAAGTCTGTGGAGCCATTCGAGTAAATGTGTACCTGTTTAACAGGCTCCTAGTACTGGCCCTGACCGCCAGTCGTACCAGGTGAGGAGTACTACTGTAGGAACGTCCTTACAATAGCCGTCCATGCAGGCCAGGAGGCGTGTCTGGTGATTCCTCAAAAACAATGAAATATGAGGTGTGCTTTTCTTATGTACGTTTTACAAATTGTATTAATGGATTTGCTTACTTTAACAAATATCTGTCTGCCCGGTCTATAATAAATATCAGATAATGTGACTCGTTACAGAGGGATTATATGTAGAAGTTCAATAACTAAAACTGTTTGGACCGGAAGTATAACCACCGCTAACTATGAAAGGAGTTCGTGATACTAGCACTGTTATACGAATCAAAGGCTTGCAGAGGAGAACGATACAAATAGTAATTGAATAAGGATCTTGTTAAACCTCTGACGGAGAGCAATATGCACGCAGAAAGCCAAAGATTGGAAACAGTTGTTCGTACCTGACTTTCGAGAAACCAGTGTGATTTGATTGGTGTATCAATGTGATTTTGACAACGTAGTAACTTGTGTACAAAACATTATTGTACGGGCACAAGATGAAGGCATTACCTGTACAACGTTTATGTGACGGTTCCAAATGAAGTTAATATGAAGTTACTGCTATACAATTATATAAGTGGCAAGTTGAGGTTAGTGTGTTTGATAGTGACAATATGTGACATAACATAACAACATGAAAGGAATATATACAAAAGTGCTAGTGACAGGATGGAGACACTGTTTGACATTGTGCAAGGTACTGCAGAGGCAATTGTACCCATGACACGATGAAGGTACTGTTTGACAGTTGTACCTGTTGGATGATGAAGGTACTGATGTGACAATTGTACCTGTGGGATGATGAAGGTACCGTTTCACAATTGTACCTGTGCAGCGATGAAGGTACCGTTTGACATTTGTACCTGTGGGATGATGAAGGTACTGATGTGACAATTGTACCTGTGCCGCGATGAAGGTACTGTTTGACAATTGTACCTGTGCTGCGATGAAGGTACTGTTTGACAATTGTACCTGTGGGATGATGAAGGTACCGTTTGACAATTGTACCTGTGCCGTGATGAAGGTACTGTTTGACAATTGTACCTGTGGGATGATGAAGGTACCATTTGACAATTGTACCTGTGGGATGATGAAGGTACCGTTTGACAATTGTACCTGTGCCGTGATGAAGGTACTGTTTGACAATTGTACCTGTGCCGCGATGAAGGTACCGTTTGACAATTGTACCTGTGCCGTGATGAAGGTACCGTTTGACAATTGTACCTGTGCCATGATGAAGGTACCGTTTGACAATTGTACCTGTGCCGTGATGAAGGAACCGTTTGACAATTGTACCTGTGGGATGATGAAGGTACCGTTTGACAATTGTACCTGTGCCGTGCTGAAGGTACCGTTTGACAATTGTACCTGTGCCGTGATGAAGGTACCGTTATGGAATGTTGTCTGTACCAATAACACTTTGAGGCATTACAAACAAATATTTTCAGGAAGGAACTTATATTCGGTAGACTGCATTCAATGCGTCTAACTGAAGTGCGTATTTCCCCAGTCTGGGGTATTCAGGATGTGTTCAGAGAGGTGTTCGTAACGACTTGTTGTCAGGCTGGGTTTTCAGCATTGAGATATTGTATTGGCTTTACATTAAGACAGGCATTTTTTGTTTTTGTTCTTTTGTTTATTTTTTGTTATTTTTTTTAATGTATTTTTTGCTTTAATAACTTTTAGATAGGTACCCCCCTGAATCCGATCCACTTTGATAGGGTAAATCATCGGGCAATACTACCAAATTCAGGGTAAAATCATCACCGGACAATATAATTGTCGACCAAGTTAACCCACAGTCGAAATGTAAATCATCGAACGATACTTCATACATCATATTCACTAATGCGTAATCTAAGTCATATATATTTTTCTACATGACGTATCTACCAATTCAACATCCTGATTCTCTCAATTGTCCAAGGTAACAGAAATCGTTTTGGTGCCAATGTAATAAAGACGTTGTTTACTTGGGTTTGGTACTGCATACAAAGAATACGTACAGACCTCCAAATACCGACAGAGGTAAGGCAGACCTCCAATAAGGCAGACCTCAAAATACCGACAGTGGTATTATAACAGGGACGTATTAAGACAGACCTCCAAATACCGACAGAGGTATTATAACAGGGACGTATTAAGACAGCCCTCCAAATACCGACAGAGGTATTATAACAGGGACGTATTAAGACAGACCTCCAAATACCGACAGAGGTATTATAACAGTGACTTATTAATGCAGACCTCCAAATACCGACAGAGGTATTATAACAGGGACGTATTAAGCCAGACCTCCAAATACCGACAGAGGTAAGGCAGACCTCCAATAAGACAGACCTCAAAATACCGACAGTGGTATTATAACAGGGGCGTAGGAAGACAGACCTCCAAATACCGACAGAGGTAAGGCAGACCTCCAATAAGGCAGACCTCAAAATACCGACAGTGGTATTATAACAGGGACGTATTAAGGCAGACCTCCAAATACCGAAAGAGGTATTATAACAGTGACTTATTAATGCAGACCTCCGAATACCGACAGAGGTATTATAACAGGGAGACCTCCAAATACCGACAGAGGTAAGGCAGACCTCCAATAAGGCAGACCTCAAAATACCGACAGTGGTATTATAACAGGGGCGTAGGAAGACAGACCTCCAAATACCGACAGAGGGATTATAACAGGGACGTATTAAGACAGACCACAAAATACCGACAGAGGTATTATAACAGGGAGACCTACAAATACCGACAGAGGTATTATAACGGGGACGTATTAAGGCAGACCTCCAAATCCCGACAGAGGTATTATAACAGTGACTTATTAATGCAGACCTACAAATACCGACAGAGGAATTATAACAGGGACTTATTAAGACAGACCTCCAAATACCGACAGAAGTAGTACAACAGTGACTTATTAAGGTTATCCACACTTCCAACCTAGGTAACAGTTATCAGGGTCTGACTGTATTCTGTATGTATGTGATACCCACGTTTCTGAATCTCAGCATGGATTTTAGGTTAGAGATTAATGATCGAAGACTGTGAGATGATGCGTAAACAATGATAGAGGTTAGTCATGCTTTGTGAGTGAGGTTATGAGCGGCGGGTGATTCGCGGAAGCTATTGACTGTGATATGTGGTTTGTGATAGATTTTTGGTATGGCAGTATACATGGAAGGTTGTGTTTATACATGCAATGGCGATCGGATAATAAAATAAATTCAAAGGACTTGTGAAGCGTTTGTTTTCTTCTCTTCAGAATTGACCTATCTGCTGTTGATATAAAACTAGTGTTGGTACACAGCGAGTTCCTTCTGCCAGAGACCTATATATATATATTGTATAGATACCTATATATATATATTGTATAGATACCTATATATATATTGTATAGAGACCTATATATATATATTGTATAGAGACCTATATATATATATTGTATAGAGATCTATATATATATATTGTAAGGGTCAAAGAAGTAATATAGACGGTAAAATCCCATATAACACTGGATCCTAATGGAGGTAACCTAAACTTGTCCACACTGTTGGAATTACTTCTTTGCCCCATATATATATTGTAATATATAGGTCTCTGATCCTGTGTCAGTTGTATGGTGGTGCTGAATACGTACTATATACATATCACCAATGTTAAGTTCTATAATTAAGCAATTTACATGAACATATTACCTATGTGTAGTTCATGGTGAAGAAATTCAAAAATATTGAAAGTAACCTATTTTAAACAAATTGGCGGTATTGGTTTGGAGACAATACCTGTATTTTAAGGCTTTGCTTAAAGCGGGTCTGAAAGGTAGGGTATTTAATGTAAATATGGTATTGAGCATATTTATTGATTAATAAAAGGCATTAATTAATCAGGGAACTGCTTAAGTTAGTTTTGAAGCACTCTTTGCTCTTTACACACAATAGTAGGTCAAATGTGTTACCTTGTATCTTACAAACGTTTGTTTCCATATGCATAGTTATCTTGACAATCAGGTCAACGTTTGAGTCTATTCAATTAAAATACTACACGATATAAGATTTATTGATGCTTATGTATGTAAGTTCACATAGATCAGGGTTTACAATAACGTCAACACATAAATAGTATCGGCAAAAATACGAAGAGACATCCACAAAAAAACACCAGAGGAAAGGCACACTTGTTCGTACAAAAAATACGACGGTTATGTAAGCTGCTCCGGGATAAGCATTTTTCTAATTAAAAACATATATCACTTAAACGTTGATTAAATCAACAGCCAAACCGGGTTTCACTTCCGGTTTTAAACAATGGACGCAGGCATTAAGACAAATAGGCCTTAGTATTTTGCTCAATGGATCATATTGATCTGCATTTATACAGAAGCAATTACCATTTATTTTCTAATCTTCTCAATCACGTTTGATCGTTTGTCGACAGCGCGGCTGTTTATTCAAAAATGACCATCGCTACTGATATGGTGAATAAATCGAACATGAAAATTAATAAAATCAGTTTTGTATGCATGTGTAGCATGTAACTAAACGGAGTAAGGAGTTACATGTTAGACATCTGTGTGGATCAAATCGACGATCGAAGTGTCTCGCCATACACAGATCGTGTCAGCAAGGCCTGGTCTGGTGCAGTGTCATTTAACGCTTGGTGAAATCGGATAGGCCAATACAGACATTATTGTTACAAACACAACAGCAACGTTAGGAGGCGACTGTCAATGGACGGTATGTAAATAAACCAAAAGGGCTTACGTCATCACTGTGAATGGTTAGTTTATTACCAATTTATATAGGCCACTCTTTGTTCATGTAATATTTATGATACACATCATATCACTTTACGGGGTTCCACATAGGTTGGATTTAAAAATGTACGGTATTCTTGCTGAAATATGACAGCATTTAAATGTTTTTTATATGCTGTGCATGTCTTTATTTTGGAATAAGATTAATGTTCAGTCGAGTAAACTCAATCAATTAATTTGTTTCGCTCATATTAATTTCATGGACAAGTATTATCAATATTGAAATAACGTTCTTTCATCTCAAATCAAAATGTTCAAGACTGAAAGCTAGACATAGTTCGTTAAAAAACCCACATGGGAAATAAAGGATTTGTTCAACTTCCATACTCGATGGTTGAATGTCAAACATGTACTACTTTTCGTACCAAGGACTATTTTGTAATTATTTATGAACGATTACTGAAACAATCTCTTTTCGTCATTTTGAGTATTACGAAATCAGACATGACGTCTTTTGTGTTGCATCAGACTATCAATGTTCGAATTATATATAGGACCAAATTTAAATAACAAATCTACATACACGTTTGAATGTCTATATATGGCCAGATATATATAAGTAGTACATATGATCATTTGTATATAACATTTTTTTACGTCTGTCACCGCAGCAGTTGTTAACCACTTGCCCACTTTCAAAAACATTTTGACGCACGTTCCTTAACAATAGACTGTTCTGTGCACTGACGTAAAACTGGGAATTGACAACAATATGACAATAATTTAAAAATAGCTTTTCAAAACTGATTCAATTTGGCCTGCATCCATAACACCATATGTTAATCTGTATATATTTGGCGTTGTATCTATATATAGTACAAATGGTCATATTTTTTTAGATATAACAGTCGTTAACAGATTGTCCACTTACAATACAAATTTGACGCAGATAATATTTCCTTAACAATAGAATGTCACCTCTTCTGAACACTGACGTAAAACTAGGCTTTCATCCGGAAATAAATTAACTTACAACAATATGACAATAACTTAAAAAAATATATTTCAAAACTGATTGAATTTTGCCTGCATCCGTAACACCTTATGATAATACGTATATATTTGACAATGTATATCTATATACAGTACATATGATAAAATGTATATAAACATATCTTTGACTGCCACCGTTACAGTCATTAACCTGTTTTCCGCTTACAATACAAAGTTGATGCAGGTAATACGTCCGCATCGTGAGAATGTAAAGTCTTCTGTACACTTACGTAAACATAGATTTTGATCAGGAAATAAATTTATTGACATTTAATTAAAAGTGAATTCCAAAACTGATTTATTTTGACCTGTATCTGTGACACCTGGAATAAGGGATAAATATGAGTATAAGTCACCTTTTGAAGTATAAACATTCAAGTGGACAAGTCTGTTTCGTTCTCATCTCAAGGAAGTTAGTCTTTGCCTTGTTGTTATTAACCCACCCTCGATATCCAGGGGTTAAGCTCACTTTCGCCCTCTACACCGCTGGAATATGTCATATCAAAATTGAAAGTTCGGTGTGCGCCACCTTGTTGATGAGACGATGAGACTAGTTCGATCCTTTGATATACATCAAAAGAATCTCGCGGTCACGTAACGGTAAAGGTTGGCAGGCTTTGAAGTCGGGCGACTCTCCTTTGTAATCTTCAAAGGACATGCATCAGCCTAGCGATTGGTCAATTTTTTCTTTACCTGAGACCAATCAAACATCTGTCTTAATGCCTTCAATTTTGCTATGACATATTCCAGGGGTGTAGAGAGCGAAAGTGAACGTAACCCCTGGATATCGAGGATGTTATTACCCCAATTCTCGCAACGAGGACATGACAGTATTTGGATCTTTCCTTGAAACAGAATACGCTTACCATTGTGGAACTCCTGGTCTTATTTTCCTTCCCACTTTTTCAAAAATATCTCTTTATATATTTCCTTTGTTAATATTATGCCCTAGTTTTATCGTTTTTAAACTCGAATTAAAGTTTTGATGACATTTCGGTATTATCTTGTTGTTTTTCTCTAGGTTCTTAACATTCAAAGGATATCAGCAATTCAAACAACCCCAATCACGAGAGTTTAGGAACAGTCTAAGATATAATCCCCTCAATTACCCCCATATGTGTGCGTACGTGTATGCTGGATGTTGTATACTCTATTTGTTATTGGTTCGAAAGTATAACGGTTCAATTATAATGCTTTTACAGCACAGATACCATAATACCCTACCCGGACTATACTGTGCAACACAGGTGAGGTGTTTTGCTGAAGGTCACAATCACACCCTGCGGTCCGTGTGATACGAACCAACGACCTAGAGTAACGGCTTATATCCTTTTTCACTTTAATACCATTCAGGACGAGTGTACCTTTTTATTACCTTTCTGTATTCAATGGTGCTCCTTTTACACGTATCGTAAGTTGTGCAGACTGTTAGTATGGCTGGTAATTATACACAAAACGTTCATAAGTATACCCCTTAGGTTATAGGTCAATGTCTGCTCATGTTTAGTGGTGAACCGCTGACCACTAACTAGTCCCCTCCACCTTTGCAAATGTATTGAGTCTTATCAACTTAAGTTCAGAATAAAATGTGAATCTCATATGTGTAAACATGACAACTTGACGTCAAATTGTAAATAATTGATGTTTTAAAATGATAACTTGAGGTCAAGATGATAAACACTTATTTAATGATATGACGTTGTGAGGTCAAAGTGTGAATAATTCATGTTTAAATAT